GCCAGACAGAGAGAGACATAGAGACAGAAAGCGAGAAATCACCTCCCGGGAGGATGGCCATGCCACAATCCCTTCTCCTCTATTCTCCTCTCAGGATCTTGGGCACGCCCGCACATGCGCCCAGCGTGAGTTTTAAGCCACCGGGTCTGGGATGCGAACCGCGGTCAACTACATGGGAATCCAGCAACATAGCCATTACGCTAACTGCTGGTTCCCTGGGATTGTCATTTCTTTAGATGAGAAAAATAGGCAAGGAATGTTCCCTTACAGCTCCAGACCCTCATCCTTTCGATGAAGCCTGGTATCTGGCCGTCCTCTAGGTCAGTGACACTCAGGCTGCAGAGGGTGAGTCTGGGACAATCTGTCCCTCAGCTTAAGAATCATCTAGGGGCCAGCAAGTGGTGTGGTGGCTAGGGGCACTGGACTCCCACATGACTGACTATGGTTCCAGTCCCAGACCAGACCTGGTGGCTTGTTTTCTCTCTCTCTCTCTTTCAGTCTGTCCCTCTCTGGTCAAAAACAAACAAACAAAACAAAACAAAACAAAACCAAACCAAACCAAACCAAACCAAACCAAACCAAACCAAAAAACAGTAAATAAATAAATTAAAAATTCTTTTAAAAAATTATCCAATATAAAATGTTCACCTTAAAATTATTTCTATTCAGGACCAGAAGATGGTGTAATGGTTATGTCCCTGGGCTCCCATGTAGTCAGCTGTGGTTTCTGAGTGCTGAACCCAGCTTAAAACACACTGAGAATGTGCTTGCTCAAAATCCCAAGAATAGAATGGAGAAGAAGGGATTGCAGTGTGGCCAACCACCTCTGAGGGGTAATTTCTTGTTTTCCGTCTGTTTCTATCTGTCTCTCCAGCAAGCACATGCATCCTATAGCAAAAACTTCTCTCTAAAAAAAATTATTTCTATCCACTGGCTCCACCTCTCTTGCCTCCCTCCACCTCCAGTATAAACTGAACGTGGAGAAAACAAGTTCCCTTGATTATCAGTGGAGGCCAAACAGGAGTTGGAATAGGATTCTGTTTTTTCTTGACCCCAAAACACTTTGGTTGGAGCCAAAGGCCCTGACATTTGCAGGATCTGCTTTGGGTTCCTGGTACTGCAAGAGTGTAGCTGACAGAGCCTTGATTCAGAGGAAGAGGGATAGGTAGGGGACTGTGTCCTACACTCCTAGACTCTCTAAAAAGGGGGAAAAGCTAAACCAATAAATAGTTAAAAAAAAAAAAAGAAGTCTATAACAACAGAAAAATCTTGTCAGAGCAGATTCAGCATTGTTGGCTAATAATGAAAAGCATTCTTGTGCATGATGCTATGAAGAAAGGAGAGCTACAAGATTTAAGATGTGCAGGGAGTCTCAGAGATCAGGCTATTGCCGCAGAGCAGGGCTGCTGCAGCCTGAGTGTTTCCTGTAGGCCCTCCTGGGCTTCCTGGCACTGGAAGTAGCTGCCCTGTGCTGTGCTAAGTGCACCAACTCCAGGCTGAGAAAGGCCAGCTAAGTCCTTTACCTTTATAATTTCCAAATCTAGAGGAAATGCCACAGTCCACAAGCTGGTGCTGTTTCATCTCATTGCATAATACTACACCATGCTCCGTGTGTAGTGGCTGTTCTCTCTATATATACATACATACATCGGGAGGCAACATATGGCTCTCCCCACCCCCACCTGTCAAAACTGTGACTATATCACTTCTGACGACCAGAAGGAAGCTGCTAGGCTGGGCCAGGATTCTAAATGCTGAGGAGGTAATTCAGAGCCATGAAAAGTTGCACCATATGTTTTGGGGTTGCGGGCTGCTTATGTGCACGGGGACAGGGTTTAGTGTCAGTCTGCAAAACCTAAGGATGGCATTATTTTTGTGATGGTATATACTAGGTGAGGGCCTGGGGTGCCACTTTTTCTCCTTTCTCTCCCTGGAAAATATGCTGGAGGCCACTGTTCTCTAAAAGGGGGCTCACGAGGAAAACAGGCTTCCCTCAAAACCTACCCTTGATTACATCAGGCCCGGCCAAATAGTATTTCCTTAAAAAAAACTTTTTTTGGTTTTATTTTATTGGATAAAGATTAAGAAAGCGCCAGCGTCTGAGAGAAGTGAAGCAAATCACGCCCTGTGGCCCAGTAGCCTGATGAGGGTCCCCAGTGCCGCCAGGCAGGCGAGCGGGCGTGCAGTCTACCTG